GAGGACGTGCTGAAGTTACTCGACAGGTTCGTGGATTTTTAGCGAGGTATCGGTCAAAGGGCCGACGTAATGAAAGGCCGAGTAACACCTTTAACTCACGCATGGTCCAAGCCCTATCGGTATACCTAGGTCTCTATTCAAGGTCCAAAGTTGAAACCTTTCTCTGGTGGGGATCGGATCCGAACTGATACTTGCTCAGGCCAACCTAGCCTTCTAGTCCTCCTGGGCCGACTAATTGGTATCAGACTCGTCCAAAGCAGTGTTTTGTACATCGTACTGCCCACCGCAAGCCTTTGCATAGATCAAATACACTCGAAAAACCACTGCGAACTGAATAGAAGGCAATACGGGGGTGTATCTCACAAACGATCTTTATTGAAGTTTAAGACCTTATACTTGTATTTAATAACGAGGCGGGCTTTGAAGACTTTGATAATTTCCGGACTTCGGGACTTCTTCTTTTTTCTACTGTTAATCCCGCACCGTCGCAAGATCCGCTATTGTAATAATATCATCCGTCCCAACGTACCTCTATCTACGGCATCCGTGCCGCTTCTTTAGCTTCGGTGAGGTCCTTCCTGACCATAAAACCTCATCTTTGACGCTTCATCAGCGGCCATGCCACTCTCCAGTTATCGAAAATCCTGTACTTTCCCTAACTTTAGCTTCCCCAAAACCATTTAAAACTGACTACGTGCACTGCCCAAGCTGAACGACTAGATATTCTTCACGAGCTCATCTCCTGCCACTTCTTTTTGCCATTTCTGTGACTTGTCCTGAAGTTTCCCTCTGTTGTTCGTTATAAAATGTTCGATGTTATCAGCGCAAAAGATGGTCTTCCGTGGTTCTTTTGTGATGACATAAATTGTATGTATGAAGAGCAGAGGGCTCAGTGTTGATTCATGTTGTACCCCAACCGTGACGTATATTGCTTTTACTGGGTTGTGAGAAGTATGACCGTCTTGGACCTATTCTACATTTTTTTGACTGGGAGAATCAGGTGTTCAATCATTTTGTTTTGGAAGTAGTCTCAAGAAGGCTTATCGCGGGAAGCAGTCGAAAGTCTTATCCAGATCGAGGAAGGCTACGTAGCAGGGCGTAGCAAAGCTTCCGGATTTTTCCCCATCATTGTTTGTCTGTGGAGATAGCATCCGTTCTAGACCTCTCTGGTATGAAGCCGAATTCGTAGCTTAAGTCATCGTGTTCGTCTTCTCCTTCTTTGTCGTCGTATTCTTCTTCGTCACGTTCTCCGTCGTTTCCTTCTTTGTCATCGCCGTGCTTTTCTGCGAATTCTTTTTTTTTTTGTCTTCGTCTACTCCTTCCTCGTATTCTTCTTGATCTTCACATATTCTCCTTCGATGTCTTCACCGTATTCTACATCAGCGTCTTCACTGTATTCTTCTTCGGCGGCTTCATCGTATTCTTCTTCGGCGTCTTCAACGTATTCTTCTTCGGCGTCCTTATCATGTTCTTCTTCGTAGTCTTCTTCGTACGGCGGGTCTTTGAGGTACTCCACCACCACTACGGCTTTACCATCTCGTCTGGTGTCTTCTCAGTTGTTGTAAAGCTGACACGTACCCACTTCTCTAGTTTTTGCTCCTTTCCAGCGTGCCTCCTGAAGCATAGGACATGGATGTTGCTGCGCTACACAAGATCAGCAACTTCTTGGAACTTCTCAGTGAGCGATCCCACGTTCAGAGATCCACTTCGGGTCCTATGTCTGTTATAAGGTTTTTATTGGTCATTCAAGTTCTACCAAAGGTTGGGTATGAAAACGAATTTGACTCTCCATTTTCTCATGACAAAGAGAGCTTGGTTTAAGGTTTGTATAGTGAAGTAATATTCATACTGCTCCCTGTCCGGAAAATACTCATTTGTAACACAGCAAACTTGAGTTCTTTCGCTGCACTCAAATCTCTTTAGAACTTCCAATAATTCTTGTAATTGGGAGTGAAAATTATGATTTTTCTTGAAGTTATTTCTTCTCGCTGGGCAAGAATTCGAAGACGTGCGCCTCAGTAAGAGCGAATGGCCACAACACAAGTCAGGTGAGCCTTTCCTGCAGAAATTTGCTTATTTGTCGAGTTGAGAACCGCAGAATCAAGAACATCGTCAGTCAGAAAAATGGTTTTCTCCAGAAATGCCGTTCGGTCAGTTACCGGTGCTGGAAGTCGACGGAAAGCAACTAGCTCAATCACATGCCATTGCTCGTTACGTGGCCAGACAGTTTGGTGAGTAAAGGGTTTGGCACCTGTTATCGGAGGCGTCGGGACATATATTCGGCTGCACCAAGAGATTCCTTGAAGGCCATGCTGGAAAAACTCCCTTTGACGAGGCACTCGTCGATTCAATCGCAGATCAATACAAGGACTTCGATACAGAGGTGTGGCCCTTCTTCGCAGTACTACTAGGATTCGAGAAGGGTGACTTGGTGAGAAAACAGAGCCTTATCTCAACGATTTAGTATAAAATTGTATCTGTCTCCTGAATGTAGCGTCTGTTGTTGTTTAAGGGTTTGCTATCCTGGAAAACTTTGTCATTGAACAGTCGAACTGAGGAACTGACAGCGCGGTGCATTCTTATCCTTTCAAATCAATTTATTTTAGGAAGTTCAACTGGAAAAGACTTTTGCACCAGCTCGTGACAAACTGTTCACTTTCTTGACAAAATTCCTTGAACGTAATGGAAGCGGTAAGCGTCACTGATGGATTTGATAAATGGAAGAAAGTGGTAACGGAATCTCTTCGGGAAAGTATTAGTTCGCTTGCAAAGTACTGAAAGACCAGCAATAGTACCTTACCTTGTTGAAAGAATAGCGTAGGAATGGCCAAGTGGTGTCCACACCCAGGAAGGACTCAAGTTCTTTCCCTGCCCGGACGAAAGCGCAAAGTGGTGTTGTTGCTGTCCCCAGATCCAGTTTCACAGGGCAGTTGGGAGATATAACAGAATGGTGAAGTTGAAAAAAATAGTGAAAACGCTATTCACTAAGAAATCACTAACTGTGAGGGGGACTAGTGAAAGAAGAGAAGGGCTGACGTATACGAGCAGCTGAGAATGGTGATGGGATGCGTATATGAAGCATCTTTTTGACGTCACCCTTGGATCTAATCAGTCCATGTCATTTTACATGGGCAGCAAAGTGCGAGATTAGGGCTGGAGAGAGAAACAATTCTTGGTAGAACTCGTCGCAAGTACGTAGTCGTGTAATAAAAGATGTATTGTAAGACTTAAAGGCACAGTTCACGATAAAAATGGTTTCTGAGATTCCCCACCAGATGAATTTGAGGCCCCCGCGTATGTCATATTTGGCACTCCTAGGTCGGAAAACGGCCTAGTTAGGAAGTTATAAAGGCTCAAATATTGGCCCATGTGTATCCTTGGACGAGTTTCACCGGTATTGTAAAGACTACACCGTACAAAAGAACTCGTGTAGCGAGTTCAAACAACTTGTCATGACCCATAGCGACAGTGAGAGCCAGTTCTGCACAGTTCTGCTTTGATTTGGTCAGCTCTTTTTGCAATTGCAATAACTGAAACCTCGTCCGAATACTCCTTCCACGTTATTTCCGTCATGGCAAACTCGTCCAACCTCTATTTTCCCCACTTTTGGGAAGCCATATTTTTCTCGAAATCAGCGAATTCTCTCGCTTTCTTCACTACCGATGAACTATTCACATTTTAGAATTCCGCTTTATGAATAAAAACAGGTACCTCAGAATTATCGTGAGCTGTGCCTTTAAGGTAATTTCTAAGTTATTCGTTACTGATTGCAAGATCATTAAGGATATCTTGTCGGAGACTCGTTGACCTGGGCGGATCTGCTGTTAGCAGAACTGGATACGTATTCGGAAAAGATCCCAGCGCTCTATGAAGGATTCCCAGAGGTGAGCTTTGTAACATACACTCACGTTCACTTTGTGCTGCATGCCTTACTCGGCTATAAAAGTTGACAAAGCGTCCTACTCGCCCATAGAAATCCTAGTAGTGCAATGATACCTTCAATTGGCTCTAGAGTGTAACTACAGTGTCGGGCTCGCATCTGAGTGACCACTTGGGAGTCAGTGCTTCAATGGATTATAAAGGGCGATCAAAATCACGCTTATCCCTTGACCTTCATATCACCATGACTCCTTCAACTAGCTTTGTAGTGCGATGACATCGTCACGGCCGCTAGATTCAGTGATGAGGAACGGAGGTGCTGTAAAGTGTGCCTACAAAAGCAGAAGAGGGTTTAAAGTTTGGTTTATCTGTATCTTCTGTCGTCCCATTACCAATAATCATTGACCAGCGACGTCTTCATTCGTCGCTGTCGCAAGTCCGGGAGACGCACGATTCGTGCGATTCTGGGTGCACGCGGCAAATTGCGCGGCGGAGTTCGTGATGATTCAAACGACTCTGAGGCCTACTGTTTGAGCACAAACTCGAAGTATAGTGGATTAGTAGGATCAGCTGACCATACCCAACTATTCTACTTCAAGCTTGTACCCCAATGATAGGAGTCAGAGTCGTTCGAATCATCACGAATTCCGCCGCGCAATTTGCCGCGTGCACCCAGAATCGCACGAATTGGCACACACCCCGTGAGTCCAGTCCAGTGATCGTGCTCACTTGAGAAAGAGGAAAAATAACAACTCTTTTGTTTTTTCGTATGTCATAAGTTGAGATTGGTTAGAGAAGTATAATTCTATTTTGTTCTATTAGTTCATGA